TTTGTGGTGAAAAGACAGTGAGTCTGAACTTTCCAATCAGTAGAGAGGTAGTGGACTGTAAAGCTCATAAAGGGTTTTTCCACAATCTGAAATGGCATCATATCTTTGGAGATGAAATGGGCCACTGCTTTATTCAAATCCTGGGCTTGTTTTCAAAGTCACACACTTTGCAAAGGATTCTGCAACAGTTGGTTGTTGAACTGCAGCTACACCACTAGTCTTGAGCTAAAAATGAATAAGAAAAAAAAAATCCATACAAAGATGACCTTTGACTGGACTTGCAGGAATGATTTAAGTTGATTTTCAATATTTAATTACATTAACAATTATATTTCTATAATATTTAATATTATTATTAATATAAGACTAATATTAACTTATTAACTGAACTGTTATTGTCATCAACTATCATCCATACATATTCATTTTAATAATTTTTAATAATTAATCTAATTTTACACGTGTCTTTACACGTGACGAACATTAAATGCGGCTTTGTTTACATTGCACTGAAAGCCCACAACTCTCACCGCTACAGCATTGATTGTAAGTGACACGTTTATATTTAATTCCCTACCAACTTATTTTATTAAGTTATTTGCCACGTAATTTAACTCCGTTATTATGTATTACCTTTACTTGAGCGCGCGAAGCTGGGTGGTGATCCTGCAGGTGCTGCATCAAATTTGATGTATTCGATCCTTTAGCAGCAACCTTTTTACCGCACGTTTTGCAAACAGGTGATCCGTCATCTTCAATGACGCTCTGGTCATTCTTTGTGTACCCAAAATAATCCCAAACTGCCGACTTCAGGCGCTTCTTTTGAGGAAACAGAGTTCCGCTGCTAGGTGCCTCTGCCATAGTTAATCCACTGTGCGTGCGTAATAGCCTCCGTGTCTCTGATAAACTCGGAACTTTAAGCTGGCGCACCGCTGGCATAACTTTGTTTTAATTTTGCACAAGCTGTAACAGTTCCGTTCCGTGCAACAGAAACACAGTGTTGCGGAGCCTTTACGATTAATTAACCGTGGCAATTTAAAGCCCGGTTAATAGTGAAATCGGTTAATCGTTGCATCCCTAATAACAATCAGTGTAATAGAGTGATAAGTGCATATATCACACCCTGTATTATCTCTGATCATCAGCTTATTACTGTGAATGTTATTTTATCAGAAACAAAACCACAACTCTTTTATTGGCATTTTGATATTAAATTAATTCAAGATGTAAATTTTTATGAGAATTTTAAATTGTTTTGGAAATGTTGGGTTGAGGCAAAAATTTATTATGATAATCTTCTTCAGTGGTGGGAGATAGGGAAAACTTAGATTAAGCTTTTCTGTCAACAATTTGTGGCACACACTTCCTGTAAAATTAAATATGAAATGGCAAAATTAGAGAATGGTATTTCAAAAATCCAGATTATATTAATTGATAAAAATGATGTAAATCTACAAGATGATTTTAGTCAGAAGAGACAAGAGCTAAGTAATATGTTAAACAAAAAGGTTAAAAGAGCTCTTGTTAGATCACATTTTGTTTTTTTACAGGATATGGATGCGCCTACAAAATTATTTTTTAATTTGAATAAGAAATGTAATCATACTAACTATATGCATGCATACCTGATGGAAATGTGACTTCAGATCCTTTGGAAATGAGGACACTAGCTGTTGATGGTACTCGGTACCACCGGTACTTAAAAAAACCTGGTACCGTAACGTTTTCATTTTTTTTGTACCGACTTGGTACCGAAATACCGGGTCTTATTATTATTAATTTTTTTATGTATATATGTTTGTGAAAATTGGAAATATATGTATGTTTGAATATTTGTATTCTTTAAAAATATAGGTCTCTTATGTTTTTACTGAATTATTAAAGAAGACCTAAAAGTCAAAAATCTTTCTCTCTCTCTCTCTCTCTCTCTCTCGCTCATCTTTCCCTCATATTTTTACTTTGTCTAGATAATTTACTAATATTTTGCATTTTAGTAGATGTGTAATGATGCTCTTTCTTTGTTTTTAGGGTGACATTTTGAACATTCTGTCAACAGATGAAAAATAGCCTTTTTGGCTAATTTTGGCACATTTACAGTTATGTTTATTAATGTGCATTGCCCCTGTAAACACATAAACTTAAACTATGTGGAGCCAGATTCATTTAGTTTACCCCGAAATGAAAATGAATGCATTATCTATCAAACATATACAAGGAATATATCCATATCAGTCCATCTCTACTATTTATGCAAACATCCTGAATCTCAGAGAAGCATGATGAACTGAACTTTATTAGTGTTTCCTCTTCAAATGTCAGTAAGAGAGCTTTTGAAGTATAGTACATTTAAAGCAAGATAAAGAATAAATGGCAAATACAATAATATAACAGTTTTTTTCTCATATTTATGAGAGCATGTACAGCAGAACTGTCCTCTTCATCAAACAAACCTGAGAAGTACTGTTCAAGCGATCTTTAGGAAGTGAGAAAGAGGGAGAAGGTGAAAGGAATGATGGAGACTGTGAGAGAAAGGGGGAATAAGAGGAGGCTAGGAACGCTTCTGGAGTTGGAGTTGGATGCTGCAGTCTGAGTTTTAGTTGGAGTTGGAGTTGAATATTGAATGTCATTGTTGAATGCAACAAATCCAGGTGGGTTGCTGCCCGTGTAAGACTTGATCCAGTCCTGGTACTGAGAGACTCTTGTGTACACATTGGGATGTTTGGCGTCATCACACGGGATTTTTCCATAGCTCACAATGCCGGACTGAATCCACAGGGAGCCGTTCCTGCTGAGCATTGGACCTCCAGAGTCTCCCTGTATTGAGACACATTCAGCATTTATATCTCTGACAGTATACAATAAACAACTGTATTACAGACAGAAGTATGCAATAACTTCATAATGAAAGTATGCCGGCCGTGTGTCCATCAATGCATTTTAATTTACTGGCTCGAACCAATTTTATGTATTTCCTTTGCTGTTTAAATAAAGCATATATATCACATATCTCAACAGAGCATCTTGAGTTATTATTATTTATTATGAATTTCCCAAAGAGATGATGACATGAGAAACAGGTGCATTAGTTCAGGTTCATTAAAAAAATACACTAACAACTTTTGATTTTAATAACCTATTAGTAAATGCTGAAATTAACATTATATTATTATTTTTTTCATTGTCAAGGTATTTTCATTTTCAGTTCATGTTAACTAATGAGTTAAATAAAGAATCAGAGCATTTTCAATCAATATCTTGGCCATATTTATGTTTGAAAACAAATAGCCTGTTAACTATTTTAAGTATTTGGTGCTGTGATGAATACCATTGTGAACACAAAAGTCTGAATGGCTGCTTAAAGGTGCTACATGTAATTGTTTTGACTCTACTAAAGCATAAAAAAACATGTTTGCTGATATTTAGGAAACATGCTAAGTTCAATGCTGAAAAACAATGCAAAACAATGACATTTGCGTTCTGTGGCCTGTTGCATGAAGCTAGTTGAACAAACTCAGTGTTTGCTCAAACTAAACGCGAACTTAAAAAACAAAATTGGCTTTGTGAATCAGGCCTCTGGTGTCGGAAAATCTGTTTTTGTTTGAAGCCATTTAATTTCGATCGCTCCTTGCTGGCTGGCTGCAGTAAAAGTCCCCTCCTCTCCATGAAAATGAATGGGACATGAGCGAAAGTAAATTATCAAATTATACTTCAAATAATTTTTGTCTCCCAAAGATGATTTCTGTTATTTCAGGTAGTTAAAATGTAGTGTGTTTTTTAGTTTTTTAGACTGAGTAAGTTTGGTTGTAGTTAGTTATTTGATGCTATCATAACGGGCTGTGGCATCATGATTGTGATCTTGCGATTGGGTCTGCTGGAGTTTAGGGTGGGAGTTTGATACCGCGGCTCCGGCTCACGATCACTACTGTACAGACTCGGACTCCACTTTTTTTTCTACAGTGGAAGGAAGTGAAGACATCTATCGGTGCGTTATATAGACTATATTATATTATAATCTATATAGACTATACTATATTATTATCTTATATAGAGTGAAACATGAGCACTGAACACTGCTGGGATGTCACCATTAGGTTTTTTAGTTTCATTATCATGGACTTTTAGTTTGTCACTTCACCTTCCTGTTTTCTTTGTTCTATCTTCCCGCCACTCATCAGTCACCATGGACATTCATTAATCAGCACACCTGTTCTCCCTTTAGTTCGTTATCACTGTGTTTTTAAGTTGTGTTGTGTTGTCTGGTATTGTTTGTGCAGTGCACACTTGCTTGGCTTACTATTTTGGATTAATTTCTGTTAGTTTCTTTAATAAACTGTGTTGTTTTATTTATGTTTAGAATTCATCATCCTTTGGGACTGAACGTTGCAAGGGCGGGGCGGAATATATTTTCAGCCATTTTTCTCTTTTGACCAAAAAGTAAAAACATTTTCAGCGGCCGACATTTCGGTGCATCCCTAGTAGTAGTGTATGAGTTTAAGACTGGGCTTAATTAAGCAACAATGTTGGCAGTGTAAAGTTAAAAATTAATGACTGTTGTCTTACCGGACATACACTTTTCCCTTGCTGTCCAGCACAAATCATATTGCTTGTGATGCTCCCTCCATAAGACTTATTACAGTCACTGTTGCTCACAACTGTCATCGTCACCTCCTGCAGCATATCAGACACGGAGCCTGTGACACAGATCAGAGGACAAATTTTATGGCTTTAAAAAAAACATTTCTAGGTAAATTGTTGAGGTTTACAGTATAACTAGCAAGCAAATATTCACTCACCTTCTTGCTGTAGTCTGCCCCATCCAGTGACCCAGCTCTCCGTACCTCCAACAAATACACCCCCAGCTGCTGCCAGACAGACCGGCCTTATATAATCAGAGAAAGTCACAGAGGAGGAGAGCTGGACCAGTGCTATATCGTTGTCATAATAAGCACCGACATAGCCAGGATGGTTGATGATTCGACTCGCTGTCCTGGACGTCTCATTAGGGTTTGAGCCGGATTGCTTCAGACGACCAAAGTACATCACAGTGTTAGACACACCGGCACTGTAAATAGAGAAAGTCTGCTTCAATCCCACTATTTTCAATCTGCAAATGTATATTAAAGTCCCCCTGTAGTCAAAATTGTATCCTTTAAAACTTACATATTTAAAGTCAGCATGAAACAGAAGTTGTGATTGTCTTTTCTTCTCTACTGTGACGTATATCCGAGTGAAACCAAGAGGTCCTCGCTGCAGCCTGTAGCACGATGACGTAGCTGGATCAGATCCAATACGTGTTGAATTTGACGAGCATGCGCAGTATTGGACTTTAATGCGCATGCGCAAAGTGGGGCTGTCATTGAAGCTGGTATTTAATGTAAATTAAACTGTAATTATTACGAGATATAGGCCTAGGTGTGTTTCATAGGCTTACACAAATTATATTATACTGTGATTTTAAACTAGTAGTGTATTCAAACTTTATTTAAGCAACGATGGCGTAGTTTTGAATGAAAGAGTTTGGTATGTAAGCTGTTTAATTTTTATTAGTTTGATTCGTTTTAGAAATAAAACTCTACTAATTACAATTTTGTTTGTTCTTTATGAAAAAAATGGGGTATAACTATTGTCTTTATTTTTTTGCTCTGATAGTCTAGTCAAGATAGTTAGTGTAGTCAAAAATTCGTTCATGAATCAAATATTATTTTTCGTTCTCACTCTCTGTGCTATACGTGACAGAGTATAAAAGTTATAGGCCTACTAAAATATGCATAATTTTTTATACCATATAAAAATAAAAAGAAGAAAAACAGTCTTGTCAGTTGGGGTTCCGTAAAGCCGATAGACCGTTATCCCGGGTTATACCGGGTTATACCGGGTTTTTACAGTTAATCCCATCTCCAGCAAATAAATACACACACGGTCGGAGACAAGGCATGTTAACACAAAGATGACCATTTCTTTTTGTGTGTGTGTTATATGCAAGTGAAATCCCTGGAGATAGATAGACCAATTATAAATGGCTAAAGACATAAACCATCCATTCTCTCTCGCTCTCTCGGGAGACTTTTTTTGAGTGTTGTATCAGACGATAGTATGAAACTACATTTCTTTGACCTGACTGAGGCGTTATTAGCGAGGTAAAGTATAATATAAATTTAATGGTTGTTTTTTTATTATTTTATTATTATTGAAAATGTTTGTAATAGCTAGGCTATATTAGAATAGCCTAATATAAAATCTAAATAAACAAAATTAATCTAATATCCCCAATAAAATTTAAATAAACATGACGGATACAATCAAAAAGACATGTAGGCTAACTCTGAAAGAGTGATGTATATCGTAATAATTAGCAATTTACAGGGCAACGTCTCAATATTGTTGTATTGTTATAATAATGGATACAGCACTGTGCATCCTGGCGATAACATATGAAATGCAGGTTATTCAAAAAAAAATAATGAAGCTTTGAAGTTGCTGGTATAGACGAAAACATCGCGGATGAATTTAGACATTAAAGTTTTTACATTGTAATGTAATGTATGTCATCTTGTGTAGATATGTAATGTAGGTCAAAAACCCTTGCTACATGTACTGC